TGGAAGACAATCCTGAACAATCACAGGTGAAGACCTAGCATTCATTGTACGGGTTTGCTTCTCTCTTGCTCTCTCACCTGCTTCTCCCACAAATGTGAAATCTTCTGAAGCCTTCCTCTGGATCCTGAGTGAGAGAAAGCACAACCCAGTGTACAATGACCACCACAACAGATATAGCATCAGAAAACCTTGCCTTCAGGAATATACTGTTACAACAAACCTGAAATATACAACATACAGCAAGACACATGTTTTTTTTTTTTCATTGACGAGATGCTACATAACCGTTGATATACTACAGTTTTGATGGCGATTTATGATGATGTCATCTCCAGTCACTCTGGTAATGACATTGTGACCTCTGACCCCGGGCAAAGCCAGCAAGCACAAGCCTGGAGACCTGAAGCCAACCGTTTGACCAATGAGAGGGCAGAACCTTTAGTATGTCACAAAATATGGTCATCTTTCAGTAGAAACAAAGTGTTTATTGTGTGATTTTCTATCATATTAAGTGAGAGGTATTTGTCAGGCTGTGCCTGGAACTTAATCAAGATATCAGAGCACTTTGAGACAGATCAGACCCATGTATTTCATATTCTGTTGAATAGCTGAGATGTAGACAGAGAAAAAATACCTATATTAGGTAAGTGCTGTCAGAATCTTTTTTCTTTCTTCTATTTTCTGTGTTCAAAGTATGAATATTTTATGTTGATTTCTTATCATTTTGCTTTAATTTTTGCATTTCCGTTCGGCTGAGAGCACAGGATACAAAGAGAGATGGCAGTGCTAATGGTCCAAGAACATGTATTTGACAATAGATTTATTTGTTTAAAAATAATAACATTTATTATATCGGCATGCTTTTCTCAAACAGCAGTGTTATTATTGTTATTATTAGAACAGCATTGTGTTTACTGTATGAAATATAGATATTTAGGATATGCGCAAGCCATAACTTGAAAAAACTTGAAGCATTGATACTAAAATGTCACCTCAGATATATATATATAAAAATCATAAGCAATATCCAAAACATGCAAGAAGCCTATAGTATTTTGTTTTGAGCCCTTTTGAAAACGATAGAATACTTAGTAATTTACTGCAACACGCTGAAAATCTCACCCACGTTTCCTTACATAAGCATGCTGCTATGTGAATTTCATCTTCAAGCTTCATACTTCCTGTAAATTAGAGCCTTTTTTAAATGGCATTCATACTACCATTCAAAAGTTTGAGGCCAGTAAGATTTTTTTTAAGCAATTAATACTTTTATTTAGAAAGGATATGCTTTAAAGGAACACTCCACTATTTTTGAAAATAGGCTCATTTTCCAACTCCCCTAGAGTTAAACAGTTGAGTTTTACCGTTTTCGAATCCATTCAGCCGATCTCGGGGTCTGGCAGTAGAACTTTTAGCTGTAGCTTAGCATAGATTATTGAATCTGATTAGACCGTTAGCATCTCACTCAATAATGACCAAAGAGTTTTAATATTTTTCCTATTTAAAACTTGACTCTTCTGTAGTTACATCGTGTACTAAGACCGACAGAAAATGAAAAGTTGCGATTTTCTAGGCCGATATGGCTAGGAACTATACTCTCATTCTGGCGTAATAATCAAGGAACTTTGCTGCCGTACCATGGGTGCAGCGGTTTAGGTATTCGGTATTAGGTATTAGGCGATGCGTAATATCATTGCGCCTGCTGCACCCATGGTACAGCAGCAAAGTTCCTTGATTATTACGCCGGAATGAGAGTATAGTTCCTAGCCATATCGGCCTAGAAAATCGCAACTTTTAATTTTCTGTCGGTCTTAGTACACGATGTAACTACAGAAGAGTCAAGTTTTAAATAGGAAAAATATTGAAACTCTTTGGTCATTTTTGAGTGAGATGCTAACGGTGTAATCACATTCAATGATCTATGCTAAGCTACAGCTAAAAGTGCTACCGCCAGACCCGGAGATCGGCTGAATGGATTAGAAAATGGTAAAACTCAACTGGTTAACTCTAGGGGAGTTGGAAAATTAGCCTATTTTCAAAGATAGTGGAGTGTTCCTTTAAATTGATAAAAACGTGGCAGGAAATATATTTTATAATGTCACAAAAAATTATATTTGAAATAAATACTGCTTATTTGAACATCAAATAATCTTTAAAAAGCAGATATTTAATAATAAATATTAATGATAAGTAGAAATGTTTTTTTGAGCAGCAAATCAGCATATTAGATTGATTTCTGAAGGATTCTGTGACACTGAAGAATGGAGTAATGATGCTGAAAATTCAGCTTTGCACCAGAGAAATAAATTACATTTTAAAACATATTTAGAGAGAAAATAGTTATTTTAATTTGTAATAATATTTCACAGTATTAGTGTTTTTACTGCATTTTCAATCAAATAAATGCATACTTATGGAGTATGAGACTTTTTTTCATAACAAAAAATCTTACTGACCTCAAACTCTTGACCGGAAGTGTACAATCACTAAAGTATCAGAAAAATATCTGAGCTGCCATCACTGGTTCACTGCCATGACTTTCCCAGCATGCCGTGTTCATGACAAACTAACCAATCAGCTCATCCCTGCCAACAACAGGTCACATGATTACATTATGCCAGGGTATTATACATAGGATGTGTTTTGCATGAAAGGCTGTTTTTTACAGAGTATGTCGAGTTAATACCTCTCTACTGCATGCACGCAGCAGACACTGGTGATATGTAGAGACTGTTGGGCCACGAGAGACTCTTTTTGCCTCTATGCTAACAGTGACCAACCACACCACTAGGAAGTCGAACACAGAAAGCACAAAGACTGGAAACCACTGGATGTCTGTTTCTTTCCCCTTGATATTTACCCCTATATTTAATAGCAATAACCAAGCTAGCCCCTTTTATAAAGTCGCTTTGCATCTTGATGATCTGGAGTGAACTGAATGTGCCTGCTTGCTTTCAGGTCACATGGACACTTTGTGTTGTGCAATACTTTGAGCTAAAGTCAATGTACGGAGAGCACATGCTGACAGGGAAAAAGACAGAAAGAAGAGGGGGCAGCACTTTTTACGTCACTGTGCTGCATTGCAGGGTGGGCCGAGTGACGCATGCTGACGTCTGGATCAACCCCTCCAAACAAACACATCCACTGATTGACTCAGCTGCTTTAGACAAGACATCCACCAAAACGACATATTCAGTGATGTGTATATTTAAGCCTTAAACTGTGGGTATTTGCTAAAGACGTTTAGAAAATCCTCTCCAGCTTTCGCTCTCTGTACAGTGAGTTGGCCGAAGGATCGATATACGTTTCTACAGAGTTTACAAAGACTTCTATTTGAAAACACCTGATGAATTGTGTATGACTTTACAAAAAAATGATGCTCTGATTATATAAGGACATATATATAAAGAGAATATCAAATGTTCTATTAAGTCTTGATGTGGTATTTTAGAATGAGAAGTACCACAGACCTCCCAATAAATAAAGGTTTGACTCAAATTTGTCTTGGAAAGCATAATTTTTGTTCAAATGCAGTAAATGAACACTTTTAAGCAATATAGCAACACCAACGGTTTATTATGGTGTTCCTGAGCTCATCGTCCTGTTATGGAGCATCCATATCAACAAATTTCACTTCAGTTACATGAGTGAAAATAAAGCTCATTGAGGTCTAACACCTGCTGGACTATTTCAGGATGATAACCTTTGCTGGGTGTTATTTTAAGGTGGAACACATTCTTTGAATATGCTTATCATAAAGTGTGTTCTGATGCCACCAGATCAGTCTGAATCTGCTACATTGAAGGCTTATCGTCATATCTGTGCCTGTTAAATGGCAGATTCTTAAACTTTTGGCTCCCTAAAGTTAAAAATATGTTTTTTTTAATGGCTTTGCATAGAGTGAAAAGTTACTTATAGTTCACTCAAAAATGAAAATCTGAATCCGAAAATGTACTCACCTCAGGCCATCCAAGATGTAGATCTGTTTCTGTATCAGATATGGAGAAATTTTATCATTACATCACTTGCTCACCAGTGGATCCTCTGCAGTGAATGGGTGCCGTCAGAATGAGAGTCCAAACAGCTGCTAAAAACATCACAACAATCCGCAAGTAATCCATGCCACTCCAGTCTATCAACTGATGTCTTTTGACGCGAAAAGCTGCACATTTTAAAGAAACAAAACCATTTTTAAGGGTTTTTTATCTTCAAACTGTGACTTTCAGTTAAAATACGAGTCCTCTATCCATAATCAGGAGAGAAATATGCACAGATCAAGCAGAGTTTACAAGCGACAACAGTCTAGGACAGTTCTAAACAAATATGACAGTGGGTTTTGATGTGAGACAACAACAGGTACTGCTTTGTTTCTTACAAACATTCAACTTTTCACGTCACAAAATGTTAGTTAATGGACTGGAGTGGTGTGAATTACTTGTGGATTATTGTGATGTGTTTATCAGCTGTTTGGACTCTCATTCTGACGGCACCCATTCACTGCAGAGGATCCAATGGTGATCCAGTGATGTAATGCTAAATTTTTCCAAATCCGTTCTTATGAAGAAACAAACCTAGTCACAGTACGTTTAAAATTGACATGCTTATAATATGAATAGATAGAGTAAATTCTAGTGCCAATCACTCTGTGTACAGTTAATAAATCACACATTTTAAAGTAATACACCAAGGATTTATCTTTTTAAAAAATGATTTGCCAACCCTGTTATAGTCAAACTTTACAAAGTTGAACATTAAGTGGTTTTGAAAAGAATTGAAGGTGCAAAAGTAGCCTTAACTAACAAACTTCATCTCATTACTCAGTGTTTGTTTTGTTTCAGAAAAGCTGCAAACTTTCACTTTTGACCAAGTTAATGCATCCTTGCTGAAAACAAGTATTGATTTCTTAATGATACCCCAAACTTCTGAATGATACTATAAATATACTACCACTAGCCACTGGGACAAGTGACTTGTGCTAATAAAACACACCAGAAAACATGTTTGTTTACTTCATTTATTTTAATGCACTTTGATTAGTATATTTGTGCTCAACGAGTTTTAATACTCCTAGAGGTTTGATCTTTTGCGACTAAGCTGGGTGGGAGAGTAATGTACTTGGACTAATGGCTGCACATTCATTAAACGGTCCTGCAGTGCACAAATGAGCCTGAACACAACACAAGAACACAGCAGTGAAAGTGATGGACCAGAATCAGCACATTAAAAAGACATCAGAAAAAAAAAAGTGCAAAACAACGCCTGGGCTCTTCACAACCCAGAATTTCCAGAACATCAAAGATGATATTCAACCCACATATCACTTTTCTGTATAATTCACTCTCTTTCAGCTGCCAGAGATCCAATATCCCAGAATGCACCTCTTCACAGACCACAAGCCATTTAATTTGAGGTAAGAGCATCAGGAATTGACAGTTAAACACAATCTAATGCCCCCATCATTCAAGTTCTAGAGTCGTCTCTGTGTGCATGTTTTAAGAATACAGACACATAGATCATAAAACATGCACATTGTCCTTCAGTTCAGCACTCAATACAGTGAAATTTTCAGACACGATGATAAAATTCAACAAGTTAATAAAGGCTAGTTTCTACCTGTTCCACCCACTAACACAAAGGTTGCCTATAACTCTGATCCAGTCACATTAACCGGTTTAAATTTAACCTAAGACCATGAAGAATCATAAAATCAGTGAAGCTGGACCTTCAGGTTAATGAAATCCAGAGAGAGCCATTTGGTTGACTGTAAATCCCACCACAAAGTGCTTATTCATAGAAACAAGATTTAAATGAACACCACGGATAATATTTCAACATACTCTCTTCTGAAAACACAGGAGAAAGGCGAAGGGAAATATATATATATAATTATTTATATATCTTCTGGGACCGTTTCATTTCTTTATAATTACAGTTAAAATAGAATGTTGAAATGCTGATCAGCAAATTAGACCAGCAAAGCTGGTGAGTGAAGGTGTGTATTAGTGTGTGTGTGTGTGTGCGTGCGTGTCTATGTTCCTGTGGACACACACACACAAACAGGAAGTGTGGTAAAGGTGCTTATTGGACTGTAGTGACAGCCTCATGAATGGACTCGGCCACATAGTCGATGTTCTTGGTGGTGAGGCCACACATGTTGATGCGACCGCTCGCCATTAGATAAATGTGCTTTTCTTTCACCAGGTACTCCACCTGCTTAGCTGTAAAATAGAAAATAACATTTTGAAATGGTTAAGTAACATTTTATGTAAATTTGAAAAGGACACATTGCATTAATTAACAAAATATCAAACTAAGTGGCCACTGCAAACAAAATATGCCTTTTTCCATTACTAGTTTTAACCACTTTTTACAGTACTAAATTTAAATTATTTTCCCAGTGGTAATGTTTAACTATTTTCTCAGTACTAACTTTTAACTATTTTCTAAGCACTAATTTTTAACTATTTTCTAAGTGCTAGCTTTTAACTATTTTCTCAGTACTAACTTTAACCATTTTTTTTAGTATGGTTTAACTATTTTCTCAGTACTAAATTCTATTTTCTCAGTACTAGCTTTTAAATATTTTCTCAGTACTAATTTTGATCTATTTTCTAAGTACTAGCTTTTAACTATTTTCTCAAGTACTAACTTTTAACTGTTTTCTAAATACTAGTTTTAACAAATCTCTGATTACTAGCTTTTAACTATTTTTAAGTACTATCTTTCAACTATTTTCTTAGTACTAACTTGTAAACTTTTTTCTTAGTACTAACTTTTAACCTTTTTTCTAAGTAGTAACTTTTAACCATTTTAAGAACTAACTTTAACTATTTTCTCAAATAGGGTTTAACTGTTTTCTCAGTACTAACTACTATTTTCTCAGTACTAGCTTCTAACTATTTTCTTGGTAATAATTTTTAACTATTTTGAAGTACTAGTTTTTAACAATTTTCTCAGTACTAACTTCTAACTATTTTCTTTAGTACTAACTTTTAACTGCTTTCTAAATACTAGTTTTAGCTAAACTCTGATTACTAGCTTTTAACTATTTTCTTAGTACTAACTTTTAACCTTTTTTCAAAGTAGTAACTTTTAACTGTTTTAAGTACTAACTTTAACTATTTTTTCAATAGGGTTTAACTGTTTTCTCAGTACTAACTACTATTTTCTCAGTACTAGCTTCTAACTATTTTCTCTGTACTCCTTTTTAACTATTTTTAAGTACTAGTTTTTAACCATTTTCTCAGTACTAACTTCTAACTATTTTCTTTAGTACTAACTTTTAACTGCTTTCTAAATAACTGCTTTCTAAATACTAGTTTTAGCTAAACTCTGATTACTAGCTTTCAACTATTTTCTTAGTACTAACTTTTAACCTTTTTTCAAAGTAGCAACTTTTAACTGTTTTAAGTACTAACTTTAACTATTTTCTCAGTACTAACTTCTATTTTCTCAGTACTAGCTTTTAATTTTCTCAGTACTAGCTGTTAACTATGTTCTTAGCTACGAGCATTTACCTACTCTTACTTTTAAAGCCTATAGCCTAAAAGGCTTTAAATAAAGATTTGAAACCACATCAAACATTTCTCTTCAGTTGCAGTAATGTGTAATAATCAGCAGGTACGTGTATCTCCAGTGGTGAGACACGTGATGAACAGAGTGTGAAGCGCTAGGAGGAGATATTTACGGTTGAGTCCGGTGAAGCTGAACATGCCGATCTGTTCAGTGATGTGCTCCCAGGTTCCTGGAGTTCCGAGTGCTTTGAGTTTTTCCTTCAGCTGAGCACGCATGAGCAGGACTCTGTCTGCCATGGTCTTCACATTGTCCTTCCTGTAGAAAGATGGTAAAATGCCAGACTATAAATAACCCATAACTAAAACATACACATACACTGGTGAATCTCACAAAATCTGTCAAGAACACATCCAGGTCGCATTTCATCCCAAAATCTAAAAAAAAGTCCTGCACAGCCCTGCATCTAAAACAAAAGACAAATTTGATAATGCTGAGTTCCAAAATATTAATTAAACTCTCTACCATGTACAGTTTTTAACATAAGAATGAAGATTTATATATATGATGCAGAGTGGTGCTATTTTTTCTATGATCTATTATATTTTTTAAATCAGCATAAATGAAAAGCAGTGCATTTAATAATTTACAATTTAAATAATGTGTAATTGTTTTTTTTTTTCCATTACAGTAATGAAAATTAGATTTTTCTTTTAAATACACTAATGGGAATTTTGGGGAGAAATGTGTTTTCATGTAGTTTTCATGAGAATCGCTTAATTATATACTTGCACTATTAAATATGTTTTTTTTTTAACCAAACGCATGACGCTAGATTCATTTGAATTGCATTCACCATTCAGCAAAGAGTTCAGGGGTGTTGAGTGTGATGGCAACCAGACGTGCACCCTGGGACGGAGGGTTGGACCAGGTGATTCGAACGATCTTCTCCATTTGAGACAATACACGGTTCAAATTGTCTTGGTCTTTGGCTACAACAGTCAGGTTCCCCACTCTCTCATCTGTGGAGTCAGATTATTCTTTACAATCAAATGGTTCTGAACAAGGACACAGTACAAGGCATTAAAATGTCATCTCTAACATGTAACACTGGAACCACTTACTGTACAGACCGAAGTTCTTTGAAAACGACTGGGCACAGAACAATTCAAAACCTTGTGACACAAAATAGCGGACAGCCCAGGCGTCCTTATCTAAATTTCCTGAGGCAAAACCCTGATAGGCTGAATCAAAGAAGGCAAACAGACTCTTTCGCTGAAGAGAGAGATGAGAGAAGAAAAAAGTCAGATAACAACATCTCTGCCATGCAAAAATGCGTTTTAGGTAATTACAGCTCTATTGATGAACTTTTCAGGAACATTCTGTGCCCTGCATGACTCTACAGTTTTGGCTTTAGGTGATTATGCAATAGTTAACTCAGTATTTATAAAACTGCTAAGAGTTTAAACTTAGACATCGGTAGGTTGTAATTGCACGTTGTGCTTAAATGGCTTATTACATGCAATTAGGATCCATTTTTGTACCATGAGCTTCAGTGTTCTAATCTGAGTGAGATGATGTGGGGTTGTTGTGATGGTCTCACCTTCATGACATCAGCGATCTGCTTCCATTGGTCCTGGGTGGGATCTGTGCCGGTGGGGTTGTGAGCGCAGGCATGCAGCACAAAGATGGAGTGATCAGGTGCGCTCTGACAGGAAAGACATGTTTTCATTTGGACTGTATATAGCAGAGGTGTTCAAACTTTTTAACATAAAGAGCTAAAAATCTCATTTCATTTAGGGCTGTGGGCCAAAATTAAATGTTGCATTGTATCTAATTATATTAACATTAAAATACTTTTTTTATTTTTTTTTTATCAAATTCGCTTATTGTTTCTTACATTTCAATGCAAAAATAATCAAAAAAGTTATAACAAAAATATAAATAAGAAATTAAGTTATGCTTCAATGGCATTTTTTCCTTCCTCTTGTAATACGGTATAGCGAGACAAATCTAGGTTTGGGTATCTCTGGTATATAGCAAGTAAAGAAAACAAAAATACTCTACCATTGAAAAGTTTTGGTTCAGTAGGATTTTTTGATGTTTTTGAAATTATTCCCATGATGGCAAAGCTGAATTTTCAGCATCATTGCTCCAGTGTTCAGGGTCACATTATCCTTCAGAAATCCTTCTAATATGCTGATTTGCTGCTCAAGAAACATTTCTTATATTTATTTCTTCAAATGATCAATGTTCAATTTGAGCTGATTAATATTTTACTATAGGATTCTTGGATAAATAGAAAGTTCAAAAGAACAGCATTTATTTGAAATAGAATTTTTTGTAACGATGTAAAAGTTTCAAACTAGATCAATTTAATGCATCCTTGCTAAATATAAGTATTAATTTCTTATTTAAAAAATCTTTCTGACACCGAACTTAGTTAGTGTACTCTACGTTTTTAAAAATAGCATTTTTAGAGCCATTAGAAAATGCCACTAAAGCAAGACAATCTGAACTAATACCTTGAGTGTCATGCTCAACACTTCTTTTTGGGCATAATGAAAGGTTTTTAGATAACATTTATCAATTACTGATAAATAAGTAACTATGAAGAGCTTGTTTCGTTAAAGACAATGGAATTTCGAAATCACTACTAACCTCTAGGTCACCCAGAAAACCTTCCAAATCAAGTCCACGCTTCCCTGCATCCCAGTATTTGTATGGACGGATGTCCTCAAATCCAGCGTTAGAGAAAACAGCATTGTGGTTCTCTTGAATAAAAGACCACAAACTGAACTGAACATTTTAAGCATTTGAGACAATAATACATAAAAACAAAGTTAATTATTGAACTTAAGGTCAGCATGTTAAGCTCTATAAACATATACTTTATATTATATAAAATATTAGAATATTATTACAGTATTTTCCTTCTGTAAATAGATCTTGTGCTCACCCCATGTGGGTGCCGACACATAAACTGGAGTTTTTGTGTTGTCAGTTCCATTATACCAACGGCGAAGAAACTCGGCTCCGATCTTCAGAGCACCAGTGCCACCTAAACACTGCACAGCTCCTACCTGCAATACAAAAACAACAGAAACATCTACATTAGAACGATCCCACTTCAAAATGCGTAACAAGGTCCCAAATAAACTTTTTGCTAAATATGAATTTTTTTTTCTAAATTTGAATTTTTTTTGCTAAAAATGAAAATAATGATTTCTGAAGGACCATGTGACACTGGAGACTGGAGTAATGGGTTCTGAAAATTCAGGTTTGTCATCACAGGAATAAATTCCATTTTAAAACGTTTTTAAAAAAATTGGTTTTTAAGCATCTCATCTGACCCGATTGTCCTTGATGGCAGGACTGTCTTCACCCAAAGCGATCTTAGATGAGCTTGAACGAAACTCTGGCAGGCCTAGAATGGGCAGGTACTCGTGGTTCAAACTATGGTCATCAGCGATCATCTTCTCCACTTTTCTCACCACGGGCAGAACCCAAGGCTGACCTTCATCTGTCCTGTAGGCTAGGGGGAGAAAGACGATGAACATTTAAACTAGACTGCTTCAAAATACAAAGGCAAAATTTTGAATTGTACACTACCATTCAAATGTTTGGTGCAAATATTTTTAAAAGAAATTAATACTTTTATTCAACAAGAATGCATTACATTGATCAAAAGTGACAGCATATACAGGTGCATCTCAATAAATTAGAATGTCGTGGAAAAGTTCTCATGTAATACCTAAAGGAAGTGTTCTTAATCGCAATGCTGTTTTTGTCCACGGAGGTTACGGGAAACGGCTCTAATTCAGCTTTTCCATAAGCGCCACCTAGTGTCAGAGACCTATATTTACATTCAGTCTGTGTGCAGTTTCTGTCTGGCCAAAAGCGGGCCGAATTTGCATGCCCTGCTGTACATTTTGACGGGTTGATGAAAAACAAGCTTATATATATATTTCAGTGTTAGAAAACAATTTTGTTTCAAATAAATGCTGTTCTTTTGAATTTTTTATTAAATCAAAAAATAGCCAAAAACATCATGACACTGAAGACTAGAGTAATGATGCTGAAAATTCAGCTTTGCCATTACAGACATGAATTAAACGTTAAAATATAAGAAAATGGAAAACTTTAAATTGTAATATTTCACAATATAACTGTTTTTACTGTATTTTTGATCAAATAAATGCAGCCTTGGTGAGCAAGAAAGACTTATTTCAAAAACTTTTGAACAGTGGACATTTCAGCACCCTGAATTCCTATCTAATCAATATATGTCATGCATGCGTAATTGTTCCTTTTTTATCAGGCCTGTCTATAATCAGAATTTATCTGTGAACTTTCACCCAAGAGCAAAATTAGTTTATTCGACAATAACGTGTACTGTTCATGTCCTGATGCAATTCTTGAATTAAAAATCCTACACAAATACAGAACAAAATGCATCCAAATAAATTCTGTTTAAAAAGTTTTTGAATCAAAAGATTGTGAAGTGGAGCAATGATTTTAATAAATCTGCATGTTTGAATGTATCAAATATTAGATCAATGACAATGACCAGTTTATGGCGCAACTTATCCAGTTTAGTATAATTATCAGCCTTTTAAAAAATATGAGAAAAGAAGCATATTCCACACATATTTTTTGTCAACTTCTGCAGAAGTATGACAAGATGTAGTTAGACACTGTAAATGTCTTTAGGAAGCACATGAAATCAGTGTTCTGGGTTGCTCCAGAGGGATAGGCCTAATCATTTCAATCTGAGGAAAGACCACAAGTCAGGGGGAGGTGTTCCAAAACAGTCCACACACAATCATGACTCAGGGATTTTCAGTCTCAGAACCTCAGGAGTGGTGGTGTCAGCAGGGTGTCAGGAAAAGCGGAAGATAAAGATAATCCTCCCACAAACCTCTGAGGTCAAGCTCTCTAACTGGGATCAGGAATAACTACACAGCAGATGACACATGACAACTGCTTCTACACAATAATACTGTAATCTATTCATCCCCAGTTAACAGCACTGCACATGGGCCTGGTCTCCAATAGAAACGACCAATGCCGGAAGAGTAACTCTATCCTTTAATATATTTAGAAACCCTAGATGCCTCTGGAGCTAAATGCGATGACTTTAGTTTAATGTCAGATCACTGGTTTATTTAATGTGATATAATACAAGTCATTTACAATTTAACACCAATTCATTTTTTATTATATATTGTCTATATTTTAGAGTAATAGTCAAGTCATCAAAAATATGAAATGAGACCATAATGGAAAAATGGTTATTATGCAGGGACTGACCATTTTTGAGTTTGTATTAGTCTATCGATACAATATTTAAAGAGAAAATATAAACAGAAAATATAACAATTCAATATCAGATCTGTATGCATGACTTGCCTACAGTCTAAAACGATGTACATGTCATGCAGTTAAGAATATAACAGTTTAAAGGCAGAGTAAGCGATTTCTGGTAGCCAATATTGATATTTGAAATCACCAAAACAAACACGCCCCTACCCCAAAAGGGTCTTGCCCCTATTTTGATAGCTCCGCCCCACATATACGTACGCAACCCAGGCAACGATTAGTTCTGTGAAACAAAGCAAAACCAATGTTACACCATGTCTACGGACGTGAGCGGCGCGGCACAACAAATCCCCGACAGAAAACTGCTGCCAGGTTCTATTTATGACGTGCTGACACAAATTTCAAAGGGTTTTCAACGGCCCTTTGATCGCGTCCAGTGTATCTTTCTCGCGTCCAGTGTAGGCAGACTTTAGTTGTTGTAGACACGGTGTTACTCACCTATTGAGAAGAAACAAAGCAACCTCGGCGTCCGATCGCAGGCCTCCGCTCCTTGAGTTCTCTCCAGCGCTGGAAAGCTGATCCGATATTTACACGGGTCCTACTTCTTGCCTTATCGTTCCGCAGACGTTTTCCTCTTTTGTTTTTTATCCGCCATCTCTATCTTTCTGTCGCTCGGCTCGGCTAATGTCCGTCCCATGCACTGAAAGCTCTCTCCTCCACATCACGAGACGAGTAGACACGCCCCTTATTGCTGATTGGCTACAAGTTTGTTTTGCTATTCGGCCCGAATCAGTTTTCTAAAGTGTTTTTGAAAAATCACATACCCTGCCTTTAATGGAGTATATCATGTTACTGATGCTGTTATTGGATGCTCCCACCATCATAACCCTTCAAAACGAAACAGGCTATAGTTCACTCTAATTTATAAAATAGACATTTTTAAATGCAATGAGCTGCAGTGAAGCAGAACAGACAGATGTGTTCAGTTCTTATCATATATGAGGCATACTGTTGTCAGAGAAGATAACAGTGTGTGCATGGACACACTGACATTCATATTCGTATATTCTGATATACACGTGTGTGTATGTGTTGATATAAAGCGCATCTCTCACCTCCGACTCCCAGATTCACCTTGCTGGGATTCTGATCTTCACGGAAATCTGCTGTCAGTTTAAACACTGCGACAGGAGCAGCTTGCGGGACTTCACCAAATATCGACATGATATTGTGTTAATATTTCTACAAATTATGAGCGAGAAGAAGGAGACTGATACGCAAGTACCACTGGATTGAAGTGCGGTGTGATGGAGACAGACAGACTTTAACCTTCAGATGTGAGATTTGGGCAATGGAGGACAGGCGTGTCTAAACTAACCAATAGAAACCCAGAAGTTTATGGTCGACTCGAAGATTACCCAATCATCTTTTAGCACTGGGAGGTCAAGCCGCTACGTCATCAAAGAACGCGCTCGACAACACTGCGGGGACCAATGACAACTCGAAAGTGTAAGAGCGACGTGCCTTTTGACCAATGATAAAGTAGAGAGGGCGGGCTACTTTTGCTTCAATAGGCAGCGTTGTGTTCATTCACACCCACACAGTCATTTGAGTTCCATATCCAGACATCTGGATCATATTTGAAGTTGTGTAATTTATGGCTGTTATCTGCTTTTACGAAAACAAAAGTTTCATAATATCCTGCTTAGTTCACTTTAATGATGTTATTAGTACTCTGTACTTCCACCTTCCACCAGATATCAATCAAAAACTGCTGAATTTGATATTGCTCTCAAATTACAACACAGTAAGTTTATATAAATGTGGTTAAATATCACTCCTCGCAAATTTAATAGAAGAAATAGAGCACCTGTTTTGGATAGACTTCACAAATAATAATAATTATATTAATAATTGCAAAAACTAAACCTTAAATTTGTTAAAATTGTACAACTTTTAATGCATTCCAAATGTATGTAAATATCCTTTACATTGTATTATTATTAATGCTTAATTGCTGGTAGCCTATATCATATCATATCATATCATATCCTTTTTATATTATGTATTTATTCTATACCATAGACTGCAAACAACAGGGTATATATACATGTTTTTTTTTTTTGTACATAGGCAAATACAAATACATTTAGAGAAGAAAAAAAGATTTGTATGTCATGTCCCTTTGAGGCCACAAGGTGGTGGTCTAAGCTTTTCATACTGTCCCACACATAAACACTTATGATGTTTTAAGGTCTCTAATGGAATCATAATTCAAGGCCCAAGAGGAAAAATGGAAACATGAGCTGTTCTGTGGTATTTATATCATGAAGGTCTCTAAAAATGTATGTTCAGACAACATGTGACCTCTTGTTCACTACTTTTCGATTATTTCTTTCATAATACTTATTTTGGAGTTTGCTAAAAATTGATCATAATACATTTAAACTTCAAAAACGTTAAAGAAGTTTTATTGTTTGTTTGTTTTTGATAATGAGCTTTTAAAGGATATATTTCAATTGTCAGGATAGGTACTGTTTGAAAGCCACTCCAGGCAGCCTGTATATGGTGTATCCTAAAAATGTAGATTTTTGTCAGCTTAAGAGATTGCATGCTTTTACTTCTCTTGACCTGCTATTAGCGAAAGATACGAACCTGAAAAAGATATGAAACTGCCATCTCCCTCTTAGAGAGAGTGGCAGCACCATCAGATAACTTATCAACCTCAAATCACCTGCACAACCCAGACCTGTATTTCAAGTACTGTGATTGTTTTGTGTGAGAAAGTGAGCAAATCATTTAAATAACTTGCAGAATCCTAGGATTTTAATTATTAAATTATGCGAACATGGAAATAATTTTTTCTACTTCTCAACAAAATAAATAAATAAAGGTTTCCGAAAGGGGGGTTTCACAATAATACCACAGAGAAGTTATTTTTGGTCCCCCAAAGAACCTTTCAGTGAAAAGTTCTTAAAATAAAATTTTTTTGTTAGTTTAAAGAACATTTTAAAGGGGTCATATGATGCGATTTAAATTTTTCCTTTCTCTTTGGAGTGTTACAAGCTCTTGGTGCATAAAGAAGATCTGTAACGTTGCAAAGACTAAAGTCTCAAATCCAAAAATCCAAAGAGATATTCTTTATAAAAGTTAAGAGTCAACCACGCCTACCTAAAACGGCTCGTTCTAACACGCCCCCACATACCTACATCACGAT